AGATAAGGAGTATGTTTTAATATCACTGTTTAATTAAAAATGGCCACCGCGGACTCTACATTGCGGAGATATATCCGGGCAATAACGGGTTGTTCTACTTCGCGGATTGTAATGACGTGCGGTAGAAGGAACGTCCTTGGCTTGAGGAATGAAATAATCATTTTTGTGAGATGGTGTCCGTTTACTGGCTTTTGATTGGCTTGGGCAGTTACAGATCCCAATAGTTTTATTTGGGCAGCTTTGTTTAAACTTTGCTGGAGTGATAAAATAGGGGGTATACTAAATGTTTAACAATCGAATGTTAAGTCCCTGTATTCAAGGTAGCCGCGATAATTCTGATTGGCTGATACCTTAAGCTTGCAAGACATTTATTCTGATAAATGGGTCCTCCCCATCACTCTCAAGCTGTCATGATTTTTTGAAAATGCATCAAAATCATCGCATAAATATAATCGTTCGTTTGATCTTGATCATCTAGTCTGTACTTAAAAGTATTCACTGCAATTTTACTGCAAAATCTGGAGTATCGTTTTATTCATTTACTTCCCCAAGAGCAAAAAAATGTAGATGAAACATTGTTCACATTATTCAGCAATTGTGTTTTGCCCGAAAACAGCCGGAATGTGCTCGATACATTTCATGCCTTCACATGCAAAGTATTCTATTAATTTCTTGCACTGTGGGATACTACATGAGACGTATGAACTGGCGATAATCACTCATCGGCAATAACATTCCTAACTCAGTGATCATCGCTCTATCAATCAATCTTATCTCCCGCTAACTAGATAGCCGCGAGGGGGCGTAATCATCGTTGGTCGGTCAGTGGTACCGGGTACAACTGACCTCCACTAAAGAACATTCTAGAAGTAAGCAGTACCACAGTATAACACCACACAGGGAAAATATGTTTTAGCGATCAAAAAGGGTTTTCTGCTATACGAGAGAAAATATGTATTTAACTTTTCTAAACAATTAATCGCTCATGTCAAATAAACAAAATATAATTGATGTTTTCTCCCTATTTGGTTGCTTCCTCAATATTCTTCGTGTTGACTGTGCCTTGTATGTTGAAATGTTGGCATATTGTTTTCTTTTAAATAACACTTAAAACCGCAACGTCAAGCAACTTTGATGGATATTAAACGGAAAAGAAGAAAGACCAAAGAAAATGATGAGACACCAATACAAATGACATTTATATAAACTATAAAAAAGACGGATTTTCCTCCGGTGAGCGTTTTCTGCACCACAGTTAGTCACGATATCTCCTGTCAAAGCGGTAGAATATGCCTGTCATCTATACCACAAACTCGACAAAAACATTCTTCATATTTCACATACAATATATTCTGCGTTTATCCGCGTTGATTATCGATCGCTAGCCAATGTTTCAAGAGAACCTAAATTTTACGTAAACTATGACAATGACGCGGAGTGAAACGCAAATTATTTGCTTAGGACTTACGGAATGGTCAGCGCGTTAACAAGTGTGCGCTAAATATAAATGATCTTCAGTAATTCAACTGTTAAAGTTATTCCGGATAATGTCTCAACTCCTACATTAAACATCTATTTTTGATTGTTTCTTTATATTACATTCATTATTTCATTTGTTGTGATCCTATATTTTCAGTATCAGCAAAGTAAAATGTGGAGGTCCGAAAAATCTAGGACATACATCTAAAATATGTGATTTTAATTACATCCCTCCTTAGATTGTGTTCAGTGATAAGGGCTAGCATGGAAACATACACTGTGGTGCTCTACTAGGAGTAACACACAGCAGAAAATCATTTACATTCGTTTATAATACACATGTGTTTGTCACTGTCTTTGACTGGTATTGCATATGTATGCTTACAATTTATCGCTAAATATCTGTTTATTTTCAACGAGGCATCTTTATTAATAATTGTTAAGAACATCACCAATTTTTCTCCACCTAAACCAACCGACCAGAACTTTCTTTGGGCTTTGCTTCTGGAAAGATCTGCAGGATATACCTGTTGCTCCCAGCAGTACAGTATGTCGGATGCCACTCAGACACAAGCTAAATAGCGATACGTAATCAAAGAACTATAGTTTCCCGCAATGACGTTGATTAATCTTTCTATAGACTGCCAGTTTAAAAACAGGTCTCTTTGAGGGAAACATCTATCTTTCAAACATAGTTTTTAATATCTCTGTAGTTGCAACTCACTTGAGAAACACTTGGCGTCATGCTTGTTTTAGGGGCATTACTCGTACGTCGTAGAGAATCTCGGACAATGCGGGTAATGTGAAGGACACCAAATTGCATTTCTTTCTGTCAGCTTTCCAACCAGACCCAATGCTAGACTATAGATATAGTCGTTATAGCTAGAAACATTGAATAACTCATCGATGCTTGAGAACGGAGTGCCATTCGGCTTTACTGTCGTTGGACAATTACTTATTAAAAGGTACAGTTCGCTCCCACATGTGTCCGACGATTATGTTAGCATTGCGTTAAATCACATGTGTGTTTATTCTATTTGTTGATTGTACCTGATTTTTGAAAGACTAAGAAAAGTTAATACACTGAATGCTAATTCCGTGCAGAAACATCTTTATATACATGTTATATCTATGTGTAAATGATATAATGGTCAATCTGATTTGGCTCGTTTAAGTTAGACAGATCTGTCTGAGAGAATTTTCCAAATCAAACAACAATACAAAACTCTGAGTTGAAGTGAACGCTGATTGCTAGTTCATATTTTGTTATCTGTGAATTCATTTATAAATACTTAAGTATTGTTGTTTGATTTGGAAAATTCTATCTTACTTAGCTCTTACTGAAACCGCTTATTTGTTACATCGTTTTTCTGTCATATTTCCATAGTAACGGGAGACATTTACTTCAATACATTACCTCAATCACGCGTTAAAAGCTTCATGCTATGGGTCTTGCCTCAGTGTACAAAACATACAGAGTAGCTTCCCTTTGGAAAATGTACACAAAATATTGTCATGGAATACGTATCCAAGAGTTACGTTTCTTTAATAAGGAAATCTAATTTTAAAGCACACTATTTTGGCAAGGTATACATAAATCATATTTATATCTACTTTATGTTTATATATTACTTTTAATTGCAACTTGGACCTGTTTGTAATAACACAGTAGTTTATAACTACATAGTACTTTCAATGATTACTTGAGTATTGTTTACAATTAATTAGTACGGTATAATCAAATATTACGAAATCATTACATAGTCCTTTATAATAACATATAATTTTGATTATTATTAATAGGTAGTTCTGTTTAATATTACGGTATGATTAAATAATACTTGATTAATGGATATCATTTTAGCTAATTTAACAGTGTTCCTTATAATTACACTGTTATCCTATAAATATACATTATTTTTATAGTTACTACATTTGGCAATAATTACATAGAACTATTTATAATTATATCAAACATAAAATGGTTACAAATAACTCAAGAATAATATACACAAAACATTATCTTTGTTAATTTTCCATTTTCTCTCACCATATTGTTGTCTTTATTTATATAGTACTTTCCTTACCTGCATATAACCAAGTAACATTTTCTTGAATGACATAGTACAGTTCGTAATTCTATAGAACTGACTGTGTGTAATATCATAGTGCTGCTTGTGATTTTATGGTACTGTCTTTAATTATATAGTATTGCTTATAATTACAAAGAACTATATTAAGTTTCATATAACTGCTTATAATTTCATAGTACTGCTTATTAGTACGCAGTACTCTCTATAATTATAAAGTACTATCTTTAATTATCTAGTGCTACCGGTAATTGTATTGTATTGTCTTTAATTAGATATTACTATCTGTAATTACATAGAACTGTCTTAAATAACATAACACTATTTATAATTACAAATTACAATATATAATTACATAGTACTGTTTTAAATTACATAGTACTATGTATAATTACATAGAATTATATATAATTACATAATGTTGCCTGAAATTACATTTTAATCCTAATTACAAAGTGCTGCTTATAATTACATAGTTCTTTATATTATTTCATAGTAATGTCTGTTATTAGATGGTACTAAATATAAAATATATTACTATATTTTATTACACAGTACTATATATAATTACAAAGTAATGTCTGTTATAACATACTTCTGCCTGAAATAACATTGTACTACCTTTACTTACATAGTTCTATATATATTTACTTCGTACTGTGTTATAACATAGTTCTATATATATTTACTTCGTACTGTGTTATAACATAGTTCTATATATAATTACAAAGTACTGCCTTTAATTACATATTTCTATGTTTAATTACAAAGTTATGCATATTAATACTTTGTACTTCTTATACAACGTAGATACAAAGTACTATAAATAATTACAAAGTACAGGATATATTTACATAGTATTATAAATAATTACAAAGTACATGATATATTTATTTGTTTTATTTGTTCATGGTGACTGTGTATTTTTTATTGTTTATTTGTTCATGGTGACTGTGTATTTTTTATTGTTTTATTTGTTCATGGTGACTGTGTATTTTTTATTGTTTTATTTGTTCATGGTGACTGTGTATTTTTTATTGTTTTATTTGTTCATGGTGACTGTGTATTTTGACAAATTTCTTTGTCTGCATTGTCGTTATTACTTCTTTTCCCATATAAATACATATTATTATATATAATTAAATATTACTAAATATATTTAAATATCATTATATACATGCATAATTAAATATTACTATATATAATTACATTGTACTGTCTGTAATTACATTGTTCTCCTTGTTACTACATAGTACTATATTCAATTACATAGTACTATATTTAATTATTAAGTACTATGTATAATTACATAGTTCTATATTTAATTACAAAGTACTATGTATAATTACATAGTACTGCTTATGATTGCATGGTGCTTTTCATATTGACGAACAACTGTTTATAAAATCAAATGGCTTTCTGTACTTTCAGAGTACATTTCGCAACATGAAGGAGATGCTCGACAATTCTTTCAAATGGAAATGGATATCGCTAATATTCACCATTTCCACCACTGCATTCCTAGTCATTAGCGTATCCGTCTGGGTGGTAAAGGACCGCCAGATCGAGGCTGCCAAGCTACCCAGCTGTACTCACGATTCAGACAGACCGCTGGTAAGGGCCAAACGCCAGTCGGCAAGCGAAAGCGACGTATTCGCTGCCCTCACGGCCGAGGAAATTGATGAGGTTTTAGATTACTTATACACGGACACAAACTTAAATTTGACAAAACCGGAGGAAGCGGCTATGGACTCAAGCTTCATACACACTATCGAACTGCAGCCACCGAGGAAGCAGAGTGTACTGGATTACCTGTCAGGTCTGACCGGGCCACCGAAAAGGATGGCCAAGGTGCTGATGTTCCGCGGCGATGCCTCTCCCCCCGTCCTGCAGGAGTATATTGTTGGCCCAATGTCTAACATATCGGAGGCTCGGGTGATGAACACAACAGCAAGACAAACTACTATTCCGTACAACTTCAGACCATTCTCATCTTTCGAATTTAAGGCAATCTACAAACACATTATAAGGTACGTAGCGATGCGTGCTGGTCATGTACTGAGGGAGAGTTACAACGCCACCCCGTTTGACTGTGGAAATCAATGTTTGAGGTTCTCCATGACCCCAATATCGAGTGCTTTTCTATCGAACGGTGAACGCAAGTCATGGTTCTGGTTCGCTTACGACCTCGAATTCTTCACATTACATCCTCTGGACTTTCAGTACAGAGTCAACATGACAAGTGCTCACCCCGAAGAATGGACCATTGAGAATGTATGGTACGCGAAACAGATGTTCCCAAGTCTGGACGACTTTCTAACTAAATACACTTGTGGGTCGATCAACAAGACTGTGATGACATTTCCAACCGCTGAAGAAAACAGGTATAGTTCCTTAGAGTTCCGAGAACCATTATTCCCTGAAGAGAATCTCCGCCCTCCCATTCAGGTTGAACCCGACGGAACCCGTATCACAATAGCTGGAAATAAAATACACTACCTTGCTTGGGATCTAAAGTACCGCATGTCTCCCACGGTCGGACTACAACTATTTGACGTTAACTTTGACGGAGAGAGAATCATGTACGAGGTTAGTCTACAGGAGGTGGTGGTAACATATTCTGGATTCAGCCCATCCGCTCGTATGCTAAACTACGCTGACAGCGCGGGTTTGTTTGGTACCAGGTGTAGGGGACTGCTCCCCAGTGTCGACTGTCCGGCCAACGCACGGTTCATTAACACACACTTGTACTCTGCTAATGAAGGAGGTCATCGGACGTACGAAAATGCAATGTGTGTATTTGAACATACTACAAACACACCAGTTCGCAGACATCGTGCCTACGGTCGCATAGGGGCTTTTTATGCAGGTCTGGTCAGTTCTGTATTAGTGGTGAGAACGATTCTATCTGTGATTAATTATGACTATGTCTATGACTTTTACTTCTATCAGACCGGTGCAGTGGAGGTAAAAATCTCCCTGACTGGCTATCTCGGCACCACCTTCCACACCTCAGAGGAAAGTCCATATGGAGTTCACATCAAGGAAGGCATCAACGCTGGAATTCATAACCACTTATTTCACCTTAAGGTTGATCTAGATGTAAAAGGAACAGAAAACCGGTTTGAAACCCTCGACATCAAGGTGGAAAACAAGACAGATCCCTGGGTCGATGGTGGATACCACATGCAAACTTACTATGAAAGAAATGTAAAAGAAACGGAACTTGAAGCACGCTGCAATTATAATATCTCAGCTCCAAAATATCTTCTGGTCTCTAGCAATAACGAAACTAGTGCGCAAGGTCTTCCTCGGTCTTACCGCCTGCTTCCTAGAGGGATGTCGAATTTGTTGGTAAATCCCGACTACGGATTCTCCAGTTCTATTCCATGGGCAAGACAGCAGGTGGCAGTGACACGACACAAGGACGATGAGGAGACAAGCACCTCCATCTTTGCTATGTGGGATGCCAGCGATCCAGTCGTCGACTTTGCCAAGTACATAGAAGACGACGAGAATATTGTTGGGGAGGTATGAACATTAATCGCAAAATAAGTTTGTTCAGTATCTATTTTGAACTTATGCCACCGTATATTCTTCTTTAGTAAATGGATAGTCGTTGATCACTTTTTATCAATACAGTACCACAATTAGGTAATGTTAACATGATTCATCAGTTGGTAAGCATACGAGGTCTGTGTAACTTTAATCTATTTCTTTTTATCAGACATCTAATGCAAACAACAACAAAAACTGTCGAGGTTGAACAAACATTTTATAATATCTTTATTTTGACACGAGTCGATTTCTATTCTTACAGGACGTAGTTGCCTGGGTAACCCTTGGAACTCAGCATATCCCACAGACCGAAAATGTTCCCAATACAGGTACAGTCGGGACACATTTGTCTCTCTTCATCATGCCATACAACTACTTTGACGAGGACCCCTCCATGAGATCGCGTGACGGTGTGCGCGTCACCCCAATTTCAAATGAACGTCCGACAGAGGGCGCTTATGTAGAGCGTTATAACCGAAAGGTAGACGAAGCGTGTGTGGCGAGCGTTTCTCTCCCTGATGACGACCTAAAACAGAATAGTAGATTTCTGTTCACATAGTTATAATGACTACGGCTTACTTTAGAACACACAGGCAGCTAAGCTATTTCAAAACTATCACATATATACACATTACGTTACAGTTTGACGAGAAGGAACTTTAACCAAGCAGTCGCTTATTAAACAAAGAGTCACCAGTTGTACTCTAAGTGAGCGGACAAACTGCTAGACTTAATGTGATTCGTGTTATCATGTTTAAGTACACAGTATTTTAACAAAGCAACAATGCAATTTTATTGTTGTCTGAAAGCGTTGTATATTGTTTGCCATCTTTACACTGTAATATTTTACATAAGATAACAATGTTCACGTTCATCCCCAAGTATTTATACTTATAATCATTGCTGTGTGTTTATATTTATGTGAACCTTCAATAATTGATATTTATTAAGGTGTTTATGATGTTTTGAACGGAACAATAATATAAATCATATGTAATTTAATGTTCAACGAATACCAAGATTTTAATTGGCGAATTAAACTTTTATTCGGAAATAGCTTACCACGGAAGGAATGTTTGGAAGTGTATGCCTCTATATATCAGTTCGCAGTTCTATAATGTGTGGAGAGGCTTTTCATCAATATATATCAATCTATAGTACTATAAAGTGTGGACAGATTTTCCTTCAATATATCAATCCGCATAAATATAATGTTTGGACAGGCTTTCCTTCAATATATCAATCCACAGTACTATAAATGTGTTGCCAGGCTTTTCTACAAACTATTAACCCTCAGTACTATAAATGTGTGGGCAGGCTTACCGTCAATATGCTTATCCGCAGTACATATTTTGACAGGCTTTCCTTTAATATATCAATCCACAGTGCTATAAATGTGTTGACAGGCTTTTCATCAATATATCCATCTGCAGTACTATAATGTGTTGACAGACTTTCCTTCAATATATTAATCGACAGTGCTATAAATGTGTTGACAGGCTTTTCATCAATATATCCATCTGCAGTACTATAATGTGTTGACAGGCTTTCCTTCAATATATCCATCCGCAGTACTATAATGTGTTGACAGACTTTCCTTCAATATATCAATCCGAAGTGCTATAAATGTGTTGACAGACTTTTCATCAATATATCCATCTGCAGTACTATAATGTGTTGATAGGCTATCCTTCAATATATCAACCTTCAATATTTTAATCCGCAGTACTATAATGTGCTGACAGGCTTTCCTTCAATATATCAATCCGAAGTGCTATAAATGTGTTGACAGACTTTTCATCAATATATCCATCTGCAGTACTATAATGTGTTGATAGGTTTTCCTTCAATATATCAACCTTCAATATTTAAATCCGCAGTGCTATAATGTGCTGACAGGCTTTCCTTCAATATATCAATCCGAAGTGCTATAAATGTGTTGATAGGCTATCCTTCAATATATCAATCCGAAGTGCTATAAATGTGTTGACAGACTTTTCATTAATATATCCATCTGCAGTACTATAATGTGTTGATAGGCTATCCTTCAATATATCAATCCGAATTGCTATAAATGTGTTGATAGGCTATCCTTCAATATATCAATCCGAAGTGCTATACATGTGTTGATAGGCTTTCCTTCAATATATCCATCCGCAGTACTATAATGTGTTGATAGGCTATCCTTCAATATATCCATCCGCAGTACTATAATGTGTTGACAGGCTTTCCTTCAATATATCAATCCGCAGTGCTATAAATGTTTTGATAGGCTATCCTTCAATATATCAACCTTCAATATTTTTATCCGCAGTACTATAAATGTGCGGACAGGCTTTTCAACAATATATCCATCCGCAGTACTATAATGTGTTAATAGGCTTTCCTTTAATATATGAATCCACGGTACTATAAAAGTGTAATAAGGCTTTCCTTCAATACATCAATCCTATAGCAGTACTATAAATGTATAAACAGGCTATCATTCAGCATATCAATCTGCAATACTATTATGTGACGACTGGCTTTCTTTAAATGTATCAATGCGCAGTACTAAATATGTGGATAGGCTTTGTTTCAATATATCATTACGCAGTACTATAAATGTGTGAACAGGCTATCGTTCAATACATCAATCTGCAGCACTATAATGTGTGGACAGGCTTTTCTTCAATTTATAGACATATATATTTTGAATCCGCTGTACGTTGTTCGTGTACTTATATAAGCCAGCGTTCTGATATATGTGTTAGAGTGTATTCAATTGTTTTTTTATCACTCGAGATTTTTATACTTATAATCATTGCTGTGTGTTTATATTTATGTGAACCTTCAATAATTGATATTTATTAAGGTGTATATGATGTTTTAAACCGAACTATAATATAAATTATATGTAATTTAATGTTGAACGAATACCAAGATTTTAATTGGCGAATTAAACTTTTATTCGGAAATAGCTTACCACGGAAGGAATGTTTGGAAGTTTATGCCTTTATATATCAGTTCGCAGTTCTTTAATGTGTGGACAGGCTTACCTTCAATGTATAGACATATATATATTGAATCCGCTGTACGTTGTTCATGTACTTATCTAAACCAGCGTTCTGAGATATGTGTTAGAGTGTATTCAATTGTTTTTTTATCACTTGAGATTTTTATTTTTTACATTGTGCTACACTACTTGCATGTTACCTTGTATTCGTTTTCATGCACACATTCCTATTAATTATGTGTGGATAACGAAAACTCATTTACCACGTGGTTTATGACGGCAGCAATTATATATTAACTTATTGCATTATGCTTACTATGAACATTTTGTATATGTGTTTTGTTTGCTTTTTCGCTGTTTTTAATACAAACGTATACAGATATCATGGGCTTACCTCAACCATATCACAGGCCTATAATCTGTATTATTCTAAAGATTTTTTCGCACAAAAGTGTATTACTGGNTTTTAGTCGGTCGTTAATTTTATTTTTTCTATATATATATATATATATATATGAATATTGCATGTTGACGATATGCTCATTGGAGCAGAAGTTTGAATTTTCTATTTATTATTTCCGACTGGGTATCATCATACCCGTTAATGTTCAAAATGTTTTGTGATATTTATTTGGAAATAAAATATGATAAAAATAAATCAGAATTATTGTATTTGTAATTTCCATATCTTATTATAGACATCCATGTCCTAGGTAAGTTATCTGTCTGGTTTTTACGTACCAGTTATTTAGATCGATCGTTAACAAGTTTTAGTGCCAATGCTGTTTATGTTAGCAAGAAGGTTCATGGTGGTGTTTATGTACCGCTAATGATTGAAATCAACAACGAAAGTACAATAGGGTCTTAAATTCTAATTATGTATTATTGTTTTTATCAATAAACATCAGATTATATACAAATGAATGTAGCCAGAACCAAAATGTATTGTTTTAAAGTAAGTTATTTATAATTACAACGTAGCATAATAAAAACAAAACAAAAACAAACAAAACCACAGAATTGCCGCTTAAAACGACGAAATCGGAATTCAAAATCAACACAAACAGGTCTTCCTGAACTCAATATAATACAAGGGTTGAGATAATGTGAGGCGTAAGGTGAAACGGTTCTTGTGCGATACATTCTAGCTGTCATATTTCCATTCAAATCGAATAATTATGACGTCATCAGTTATCTAAAACATGTCTTTAAACATGTCAATGAAATATCATATTTAGTAATCTGGTTCCTATGACGACCTTAACATTTCAGCAATGTAGAATTATACCGTTCCGGTTGGAAACCCAGCTTACGTAAAGTATTGGTATATTACTAAAAGGAAGGGATTACAGCGATCTCAGTTTAAACGTTTATAAACATTTATTAAACTTTAACCTGCTCTTTATTTAATCATTTAATTTTGGAAAAAACTGTGCAGCTGCACCCTTCTACTATATTAAATATCCCTAGTTTTAAACTTGGGTTCATCAGAAAATAATAAAGCAGAGAATTTATCACGATAGTGCAGACAACATAATTTTGTCGAGGTGATCTCTGTTTCGAGACAAAAACACAGATAAGATATATATCACAAATAAAGAGAGACAATGGTAAGCGTATCCTTCCTATGCAGTTTAAGGTTTTCTTTCTTTCATTACTATAGCCGATTAGCACGAGTGAAAACAGTGTCCACCTTGACGACGAGATACTGATCAGAGGTCACGTCATATTGCTGTTCCAACATTGAAATGGCACAACGTTAAAACAGAATGTGACACCACACGTGTTAAATGTCAATCTGATCACATGCTGAAGATGTACGTATTCGTCACAGACAAGTGATTATACTAATTTTAAAATTATATTTTCAAACAATTTATCACAATGCCAAAAATTAATTTTGAGTATTTACTGTAATAGCTAGAAGTAATAGATCAGTAAGCCATAAATGAACCCCACTGCACCGTACAGCTTTATCGTCCTTCTAGGACGCTTTGGTGAGGCTAAGGACCAAACAAGTGGAAGTCCACGGCAATTTACATTTGTCAATGGAGACAATGGAAAGCGATATGATATCTTCTTCAAAACTCTGGATCGTCGTTTATAATTAGATGTATTGGTTGATGAAGATGGATACCTGTTGAGAACTGCAGTCTTTCGTCAGTTAGACCTTGTCAGTTAAGGCTCTGTGGAGATGTATAACCTCACATCTTTTAATTGTGACGATACGGATGTTAAAATGATTAAACATGATAGAAAAAATCAGACCAAGATAAATAAAGTTATAATACCGTCCAATCTTATAAAAGCTGGCAAATATATTCAGACACAAGGAGAAAAAAATATTATCGATCAAATATCCAAGAAAAAGTGTGTTTTTAGGTCACCTGAGACAAAGTCTCAAGTGACCTATTGCGATCGCCTTTTGTCCGTTGTCGTCCGTCGTCCGTCCGTAAACAATTTACATTTTCGACTTCTTCTCCAAAAGCCCTGACCAATTTCAATAAAAATTTGCAGAAACCTTCCATGGCCAAAGGTCAACAAAAACAGTGGCCGGTTTGGTCCCCAGCCCCCAGGGGCCCGAGGGGCGGGGCCAAAAAGGGTCAAATTGACTAAAATTTCAAAAATCTTCTTCTCAAGACCCAGATATGGTAGAATCAAATACTCTTCATAGATGGAAGGGTCTTAAGGTGCTTTAC